GCTCTTCCGATCTTCTTCGGCTTCGTTCAATACTTCAAGATGTGTAAAATCTATTTTCTTGTGCAATGAATATTCAAATCCTTTCTCTTCGCTGATATGATTATGATCATGTTCGCAGCGACCATGTCCACAGCCAGCCATCTTGAATGGTCTCTAAATACTTCATGATAGATTTCATATTATGTCTTATCACTGATCTCTCTATGACCGTTGAAGGTGGTCTAGGAAAGGTTAGCCTGCATGGCAGGCGGTCCCTAAAATCGGGCAAGCCTGGGAAATCTGCCATGCAGGCTAAGGAAAGGTAGACAGGAAACATCAGTACTGGGAAACAACGTCAATGTTACCTGCTTTTGCCTACTTTTGGAAACATGACAAGGAAACAGTGTTCCAAAGTTTGCACACTTTTGCTTTACGGAACATGGCTAGTATTAGTATATATAAATGTTTCCGGATTTCTCTAGGACCGCGGGGTTTTTTCCACAATAACGTTTCCCGAAAAACTCAAGATGGATTGTCCAAACGTATTTTGCTGATGGTTGTGTCTGATTTATATATTCTTGATTTATATTCATCATTGTAGTACAATCTTCTTCTTCCGTTGCTTTTAATAATTTTATTGTGTACAACTTTGATTACAATACATATTGAAATGTTAATTAAAATTGTACTAGTGTCGAGGCAACAAACCGTATATTAATATAACAAACGTCACATGACCAGTAGTTTTATAAATAAGGACAAGATAAAATATATGCTATGATACTTTGTTACCCAAACTAAGTCTGCAGTTCCCCAAGTATACAAGGGACAATGACAACAATATGAAAGCAGTGTACTCATGGGGCCGGTTGTACAAAAGCTACATCACTACTAAAGTATTAGCGTTAACCCTCTGCTGTTTAAGTTTATGTATTTCGGCACGTCTGTTTATTTCAAAACTTCAGAGAAGAAAACTCCTACTGATTCAGACATGATCTCTAAGAAATATTTCCAAATTTATAAACAAGCTGCCGTCGGAAAGTTTGCTTTGAATTTTAGGTTAACCTAGGGTTAGGCTAACCCAATTTTGAACAACCGGCTCCTAATTAGGAATACAATACGCTGTATTCAAGTTAAAGAAGAATGTTCTTCCTTGCTACATTTATTATCTTGTGTTACATGATTGGCAAGGATTAGGAGTTTTAGCTTTTGTTCTTTATCTATTTCTTTTTCATATAGGCCTATACATTTAATTTTGAACGTTCCTCGCTCGGGTTATTTCATCTTCAGATAAACATGGTAAAACCTGTAACAATTCGTCTACGCCTTCTTCTAGACTTATCTCGGACTGGAAACCGAGCCGTCTTATCTTCTCATAGGAAACTTCATAATTCCGTTTATCTTTATCCTGTCCGTTCGACGACTTCGTGATTTTACAGTTCTTGACTCGAGATTGAATGACATGTGCCACGCCAATTTTCGATATATTCATACACTCGTCACCGACGTTAAAAACGTCGTTTTTCATTCGTTTGAAGTTCTTCAATGAGAACAGAAAAGCCCTTGCGGCGTCTTTAACGTGTAAGAACGTACGGCGGAAATGTCCTTCGTAGACATCAAAATACTTCACGGTCAAGGCTTTATTTGTAAGATCGTTTACAAGCAGATCTAGACGTAAACGGGGGGCGACGCCGAACACCGTTGCAAGCCGTAAACAAACAGCTCCGGCCTGCAGGGCCATTTTCTCTCCATTGGCCTTGGTGCTTCCATACAGAGTAAGCGGACTGATGGGCGTTTCTTCAGTACAAAGCCCGTCAAGCACCGCCCCGTAGCAAGATCCGGTAGAGGCATACACCAACTTTTGATCTGGTTCCATCAGCTCCACCACGTTCCTCGTTCCTTGCTCGTTTACAGACTTTGCTAGCTCAGGCGACTGCTCGCAAGCGGGGTAGCCCACGATAGCGGCTAAATGAATGATCGCATCACACTTCTGTATATGTTTCTTGAGGTGGGCTCTATCCAAGACGTCTCCACGAACTAATCGCAGGTTGGGATGGCCGGCTAAATGAAGCAACGAGTTAACTCCCCATAGGAATGCGTCGTACACTGTGACGAAGCAGCCGCTGTTTAGTAACATCGGGACCAATGTGCTGCCAAGGTAACCTGCACCGCCCGTGACCAAAACGTGTTCCCCAGGCGCCATGTTTTCTGTGCCGTTGTTAGTGCCGAGATGATGACAGCCATTCGTTCCGTTTGTTGCTTTGCCGTTCGTGTGGACATCTTCCATCTCTGTAGAAAATCGAATAAGGACGTTTAGCATGATGCATAGATTTGCATGTAATCATCATAGTTAATATGTATGACATGTTTTAGAAACCCTTTATTTTAGGTGATTGTGTACCTTGCGCAGGGTCACGGTTGAAAAATCGTTTGTCTTCTATTGTTTGACAATAGTCAGTTCAAAAAGCTTGGCGAAGGGAATGGGTACCAAGTATTTGTTTTGCCTACCAGGGCTATATCTTACGGCATATTTTGCAAATAACGAAGTATTACCACCAATTTTCGATTGAGTATGTTTGTGTTACATCGTTTGGTCAATTCTCATTGATTAAAACCAATATGTGCAGGGTCAAACCGACTGTACAACCTCCATGTTTGTTTATAGCGTAATTTCTTTGAAGTTTGCCGGTTATTTCTTTGAAGTTTGAAGTTTTCATGTAGTCACTGAGCCTGGGGCGACTATAAGTGCATGTTTAATTCAGTATTGAAAAAGTTTTATTTATAAATACAACTATAAGACACGTGTTTATTTTATTAATATAATCGATTTAAATATATAATCGACAGAAAATATCAAACATGTTTCATATTCGTTGTTCACGACACGAGTGACAAAAATCCTGTATATTTTCCCGGCAGACTAGGATTTTTGTCGCACGTAATTGGTCACGAATGACAGGTGTGCGTGCAACGGGCTTAACAAAACGTTATTTCAATAGTTTTGGGGGGGGGGGGG